CGGCGCGCTTTTCGTGCTCTTGCGTTGCGCAGTCGGGTAAAAATAGGCTCATTTTACAGTAGTTTCATTCCCACCTGAACTCAGTTTAATTTATCTCTATAGGCAGCTACTGCAAAATTTTGTTCCAGTTATCTTTGTACTCCAATTTGTACGTCTACAAGTATTCACAGCTGCATTTAGTTTATACAGAGTAGTAAGCGCATTTTTTTGCAATTTAACTTACGCATGAAAGTCTATAATTAAACTGATAAGAAGTATTTTAATGCTAAGCAGCCTCTTTAAGGAATGTTACATTAACAACAGTTATTCAGATGTTAACAATTCAACCACCATTTTGGACTTTATGGTCCAGCTGTGCTGTGGGTCAGCCGGTTTTTGTGACTAAACTGAAATGGTAACTCGGATATTTTAACATTTAAGCGAATGTAATCTTACTGTGTATTTATGGTTAATAATTGCGCCACAATAAAACAAGTTTGGAGATACTTGTTTTTAATTATTTATATATTTGTCAATATGTCGACGACCTCCGTGGCCGGGTGGTTTATTCGCCGGGTTTCATGGTGGTGCCAACTCGAGAGGTCCCGGTTTCAAATCCCGGTGGGGCAGATGTTTGTGTGATGAATACGAGCATTATTTGTACTCCAGTCATGGATGTTTAATATGTATTTCTATATAAATATACTTTATGTATGTACAATATATTATTATGTATTCTATCAGTTACCCTAGTATCCTATAACACAAGTCTTACAGTGCTTACTTTTGGCTAGGTAATTGGTGTGAGTGTTGGAAATATTTATTTATTATTTTCATAATATTATTTAAACTATAAAAATCTGTTTTTTTATGTAACACAGCACATGGCACAGAAAGAAAGAGTTGAAAACGTAATAAAGCTCAAATCTTGACCTAAGGAATGACAAGTCGCGCATTATTGAGCGCAAAGAAGAGTTCTATTTAGTCCATCAGTTAATATTTTGTCTATCTACTTCTTTATTGAAATTCGTTTAGCCTTTGTATGAATGTAAGTAGAAAATTAGAAAGATTCCATAGCAAAAACCTACCGCAGCGATCTGCATGGATCATTTCATCTCTAACATAAATTAAGTGAGAAACCATACTTTTGCAATGCAAACCGCTAATCAATCACTCTGTTTATTAGCTTCCTACAGCCGTTAAACATCTTTCTCTATGAGATGCTCGCACGCACGTAATTTTAAGATTGTTAATCTGGAAAAATCTATTTATCTTAACTTAGATTTATATATATAAATATATATATTTTTTTATATATAATTTTCTTCTTACTTATACAGTAATTTAAAAGTTAACCACAACTATTCTGTAGGAATAAATTCTATTTACACTGTGGAATCCGCGTTGTGATTTGAAATTAGAATAGAATTCGAATGAAAATTTGAAATCACAACCCGGATTCCGCAGTGAAATGTGAGTTTGTGTTTACAAAAAACGCACTGCAGATCGCGAATTGTTAGCAAATTACATACTTGTTAAAGTAAACTTTTCCTTCTGAGAGTCGTGTAAATAGAAATCTATTAGGGTCAAGTTGGATGACCTCACGATGAAGAAGACGCGGGACGTTTCCAAAACGACTCATCGTTACTCTCTCATAGCGGTGGGTCGTTCTCAAATTTTCTGACGACGAAACGCAACCGTTTTCTCTTCAACGAAAACTAGTCCTCGAAACGGTTCTCGTTCGCAACTGGTTTTGGTTGCGGCTGGGTGACGCAACGAAACGACACGCGACGGTCGAACGAATGTAACGCAACGAAACTGAACTAAATGAAATCTTGTTAACGTTCGTTTCGTTGCTGCAAACGAGACGACGAAACATCGAAATAAATGTAGTGTTATACGATAATCGACTTTAAATGTTCAATAATAAAGATTATATTATTGTAAAATCAAAGCTTAATTATCATAGAACGAAACGGCCTCTTAGCATTGCGTTCTATTATAGACTGTATTTGCTTAATCATAAAGAACATATTGGCTTGCAGACAATCCGAGGACTAGTTGTTCGACGAAGACTGTTTTGATCCGAAACGTAAAACGGTTCTATCGTCGCGGAACACAAAACGGTCCTTGAAACCGGTTCGTCTTTAGAACGCTCACACCTACTCTCTCATCTTCCAACTACAATTTCTTTCTGTGTCAGAGTCAAATTTTTTTATTTCTTTAAATAAAATTTAATGGCATCATCATCAGATCTTTTCTCTCAATCTTACTACTGGGGAACAGGCCTCTCCGATGGAGAATTTACCAGAATAGTCATATCATCATCATTATATTAATGTCCACACTGCTGGGGCACACGCCTTCCCTTATGAATAGAATAGGGAGATTAAGCTTTGACCCACCGCTCCGGCCCAGTGCGGTTTGGTCATAGGATGAATACGGACACCCCCTCTTCTACTTATCTGTAGTCTAGCTAGCCTGTCCTCGTTGTATTCATGTGTTATTCTATTCACCATTATGATAAATCTCTTCATGTGATTGACAATACCGTAGATCTTTTACTTTAGTAGTGTGGACATTAATAGGCTGATGATGATAACTATAATCATCATGACAAAATCATAATTTAACGGCTGTAATTTTGATATAAACACTGAATTGTTATGAGCCCATTAGATATTGTATGAACGACGTGATTTCACACTAATTTATTTTCCTGTTTTTTCTATAAATTCGTAAAACTAAATTGAATTATTCTGTTTGAGTTACTAGCTTATTCACTTTCTTCTGGGGTCTCTTAACGAAAAATATAAATTAATAAAAATAAACGTTGTAAGTAGGGATGCAAAGTCTTTTGAAATATCGATATTTATATCGATATTGATATCGAAGTCAGGAAAATATCGATATCCGATATATCGACCATTTTAACTCGATATTATCGATATATCGATATTTTTTCCTTTTAATTTTTTATTGACATTAGAATACGGGGTGAGTGTGACATATTCATATGTTTGTTGGCGAGTTTCTCGCAAAATGCATTGAGCCAGATTTTTCGTTAAACACGCTTGATGAAATCGCGCCAAGCAGGATTTATTTTTATTGGCTCGCACGGTTTGTGTTTCAGCCACGACAGGAAACCAAAAAATTAAAATTATTATCCTGATCAGATCACTCACATTCGTTAGCACGAATGCGCTAACCTGCATATGTGGGACGACATTTGCGAATGCCTTCGCTAAGTTTTCACTACATTCGTGCCCTCCAAGCTATGCAGGTTTTTTACCGCACATCAAATACGGAAATTGCTTAGTCTCCCATACATCAGGGGCGTGCCCATGGCTTCAGAATAGGGTAAGCCCAAAGCTTCCAAAATTACTATACCTATGTTACTTTCTTGACTTGGCGAGCTTAAAAAATTTACGATTTGTATAAGATTCTTAATTTTATTATGTGTTATATTACAATGATATTAAATTTCAATTAATCAGTAGTTGACAATTATCTAGAAAGAGATCATTCTGTATAAAGAATGACAAGGATACACTGTTGTCAAATTTAATTTTAGGTTTAGAGAATCATGCCAGAATCCACACCAGTTTAGTATATTTCTTGGGGTTCAAGATTTTTTTAATACATCTTTATGCTCTTGCGATTTAATAGCAATAGTTATTTCGATATTATTCAATTTAGATAGTCATAGCAGGTAAATTAATTGATATTATTGTGTTCAAATTTAGTCTACGAAATATCGATATTTTAGAATTTTTGACATCGATATTATCGATATCAGTGAATTTTAAATATCGATATGTATATCGATATTTTGGTCTCGATATTATCGATATTATCGATATTCCGATATATCGTTGCAACCCTAGTTGTAAGGGATTTACTATCACGTGAGTAAAGGTTTCCAACTAATTCTTTCACAAAATTGTGCAGTATTTATTAGTTTTCAATCCACCTTCTAGTTTTTGCTTGCCGTTATTATGGGGCAGATTTGATCAAAACAAACGGGACTGAATTTTTGTGGTTTAGAAGTTTGATATTAAGTTTATTTTATTTTTAACATTGCGTCTGAGGCAGTATTATATAATTATAATAACAATAAACTAAAACTCTTGTGCAATATGATTAGTTGTGTTAACAAGGAGGAAGCCAGACACAAATAAAAATTACTATTTTTATTTTTGTTAATGTAATGCAAGATGTAACTTTAGAAGTTTCGTATAAGTTTATTTTATAATAATAATAATGATATAATATCATTATAATAAAGACAAATTATTACTCTATCTTCTCTTTTTTCTGGTTTTTAACCCATTGTTCAAAAAATTCATCTTTAAAAAACACTATATTACTCTTTAAAGTTATCAGCAAATTCAAACATTTCATCATTCTTATATTAACAAAAGAGTAAGTAAGCTAAGAAAACTATGTTTTTTCAATTTCACTTTACAGTTGATTTTTTGACGTGACAACGTCTTAAATTAGGTTGCGGCTGGGAGTCACTTATGAAAAAGTGTAACGCTCGTTAACGTTACGATGAGTCTCTCGTGTTAAGTTTAAGTTTACATGTACAATGTTTTAGTAAACAAAATATATTTCTATAGTTAAAATTTGTGCAATTCTTATTTTCATTCAATTCCTTGTTCCTATTGTGCAATTTAATTATATTCATATCAATAAATATTCTACCGAGAAAAAGACGTTGTCACGTAAAATCTTCGCCCGTAAAACCGACTTTAGAGGCAACCATTTTTTATGAGTCCAAATATGAAGAATGTGCTAATGTGCCCCCTTCTCCCCTAGTAAGTAGTAGGCGGTTAAATAAAAAAATGCTTAACTTTATTAAAGTTCTTTGCTTACGCTCACCATGGTGATAAATATCATAGTACAAAATCTAAAGCTATAAAAAATACTTAAAACATAATCTACTTCTTTATTGTTTTTAACTAGTTAATTTTTTCGTAAAAAAACTATAATTTAATGAATAAAATCAGGAATATTACCTTTAAAAATCTCTTCTCAATGCATCAAACATCTGCAAAAGAAAAACGAAGGCATTAACTTAATGTCATAAAAATAAAAATTCAACATCATTGGATGCTTTATGAAAGCTATGATAATAATAATCGTATTTGCTACGGTCATGATCACGAAGCTTGTAGCTTGTTATGCACGTGGCGATTCAACGGTGTTTAGTCGAGAAATACAAATATCCATTTAATACCTTAGACAGAAACATATAAGATTGTAAATACAATGAGATTGGCTGCCGTGGAGCAGTTCAACAGTGCTTTCATGCGTTAGTGAAGGAAACTACGAGACGACACGGGTTGACAGGTGAAATGCTGAACGTGGGCGTGACACTTTTCATCAGGAACAAGAATGCGGATGCATTTTGTAAAAAAATACAAGAGTGTAGTCAAAATAATCGTATAGGTATATAATTATCCAATTAAACCATAATTAATACACAACCCATGGAAAATAAATCCAATAAATTTACGTGAAATTTTATATAATTACTAGCGGCCGCCTGCGACTTCGTACGTGGAGGCGCGTGGAGATGCGTGGAGTTATCTAAGAGAGTTAGTTAGAAATAAAAGTTCACTGCTCGTTCCCCGTAATTGATAGCGTGATAAGATGTAGCCTATATGTTGACCCGACTTCTTAATAATATTCGTGCCAAATTTGAAGTTTGATACAAGCAGTACTTTTTGAGTTTATCCCGGACATACACACAGACAAACAGACAAACATTCTAAAAACTATATAAACTATAAGTATCGACTATCGACCGTAGACCACACCCCAAGTATTCTTTTAAAGAAATATTCAATGTACAGTTTTGACTTTCCTACCATTTTATTATATGTATAGTTAGGGATGAATTTTGAAAATTTGGTGTGTATCAATATTTTGTTATGAAAACAATTTAATTTACTAATTTTGCTTGTCCGTTGATAATCCTATTTAGTAAATTAAATTGTTTTCATAAAAAAATATTGTATATAAAAACTGAGCAGTTATGGAAGCTAGTGCAATCAGCGCAAAAGACAAATACAATTCAATGATTGATATTAAAAAAAAATAAGTATGTTCAACATTTTTCTAGATTCACTTTATGTATTCATATAATAATCGATTATTTCATCTTACCGAACTCAATTCTTCTTTAGTTTTTTTAATTACTTAATTCAACTTTTTTACAATTTTTTTTTTGAATTCGATCAGCTACGCTCCGATAAACTATGGGATGAAGCAGCAATGAATACTAGCGTGATTCTCTAAACTTAAAACTAAATTAAACATCAGTCTCTCCTTTTCATTCTGTACAGCGAATGACAAGGGTACACTGTTGTCAAATTTAAGTTTAGGTTCAGAGAATCATGCTAGAATCGCCACCATAATCACTTCACAAGATTATTGAAAAAGATCATAACATAACATACCAACTTTAATAAATTTTCTCCGAGTGTTACGGAAATTATTACGTAGGCAACTCGTCACGCGACGGTTTACGTCGTTCGGTCGGAACATTGTTGAAAAACGTTATTGTTTTACGTGGAAGGGGTCGTGAGCTGTTTAGTCACGTTTGCCTCTAGTCGTGACCACACCAGCAGGGTTGTCCATACATTATTTTTACTCTTATTCAGAATGTGTGACCCGGCCTCGCTTCGCTTCGGGGAGGACTACAGTTCTTGTTCTCAAACTAATTCCATAAAAAAATCTGAAGGAGAAACTGCACCAGAATTCGTTGCGTGGTCAAGAAAATACAGCGGATATACAGACAGACGTGTAACGTGGCTTTATTTTATGATATTAGATTTTATAAGGAACTTGGAAGCCGTGGCATAGAGCATAGCGAATTTTCCGTGTGAGTTGGAGCTCCTGCCTAGAGAAATAATCTCCATTTTAACAGAAAACTGATTGAAATAAAACTATTCTATAGTGTTGTGTTTCGAGTACTGGGTCATCCACGCTACATAGGGCAGAAGAATTGTATTGAGTTCAGCCGACAATTTGGCTGGAGTAGTACGTTTTTCAGACCTTTTTTGCAACAAGACTCCATTATCGCTTTGTTTCGTCTTTATTTCCTTTAAGCAAATTAACTGTAATTTTTAAGTTTTTCACAGTATTCGCCATTAACTTCAATGCACTTTCACACACTTCGAACCAATTTGAATACACGTATGGCTCGCTTCCTGTGGTAGCTTCAGAACTAAGAGCATGCTCTTAGCCTCGGAAATATGCTTTTAAGCTCTTCAACATAATCCTTACCAATCTTACCTACGTCGAAAATCCTTACATACTTATAAAATAAACGTATTTCTCGCTCTGCATCTTTGTCCAGCTTTTCAGAAGATGTAGGCTTTCCAAAAACAATATCCATCATTAATAGGTAATGTAATTGTTTTTGGAACATCTATTGAATGATGTTTTGAATGAGAAATAAAAAAAAAGTCTTTTAAACCCATTTTCTACTTATCTTTCCTAGTAGGCAACCCTGTATTGGTGAGTTTGCCGGGAATATTGCCAGCGACTCACGATGCGATCATTCATTTTAATATTCCGGTAAACTACTTAGTCCAATTTGGAACGCGCCAATGATAAAAAGAATAAGTTTTAAAATTATCTTTAGGTACTTTTGGTTTAGACACGTTTAAGACATTTCTTGCATACACTCTCGTACTTAAGGGAATATTTCAAAATCTGTAATCTGTTCAATTTATGACTTTTGAAATTCAATAGATAAGTTTTATTCGCAATATTCAGTTCTAGTAACCTTAATTTTAATCGGGTATAGGTACCTATTTTATGATAATATTTTTTGATATTGGCTCTTCTTCCAGGTGTCAAAATTACAAACAAAAAATACCTATATTTTTGTTAATATTTTTTGAAACGGCCTCCTCGTCTATGTGTAAAGCAGTTATAGGTTTATAATACCAAAACAAGTTTCGTCATTCATTCACCGTCGGACGGGCGTGCCTCTGAAAAGCTTGACGGGTGGTGATTAATTAATCCAGCCAATGTGGGCCAAGATCACAAACGCACTTAACTCACTCAGGTTTGTGCAAGCGATCTGCAGCGCAGCGGTGCAGGCGCAATTCGCGATCGTTATCTGTTTTCCATTTTCACGAATAGCGTCCGACGGCCGTACTAAGATCCTTATCTTTAAAACAATTTCATACATTGCGATGACGAACTAGAATGCGGCGTGTGAAATACTTAGTTTGTTATGTGTGTTAATAATACTAGCTCCTTTTTTTTTTTTTAATACGCAGGTAAAAAATCTATTTACAGACGACGGCGCCTTTAAGAGGCACACCGCCGAACGGACCTCACACCTGGCTCCCGCAAGTCTTACGAACCCCACAGTGGCTGCCCACCGAGGACCCCGCAACTCTTACGGGCGCTTTACAGTATAATATCCGCTAAAAAAGTCCTGCGAATACCCTCTAAGCTGCTTAGTGCGAAACCGCGGGATCCCCGTTTAGGGATTCTTCCGCGTCTCCGCACCCAGCAGCCTCCCGGCCTAGCCGGGGCTCCACGGCAGGGGTCTCCCGAGGTATTGCGGGGACCCCGCAGACGTGCGCAGGATGGCCCGCGCGTGGGGGCAAAATACGCGGCCTAGTGCCCACCGTACCGCCCCCCGTCCGCTGCGGAGGACTACTTGGGCATGCCCGTGTAGCTCCCTCCGCCGCCCCCCTCTTTGCAGGACAGAACTACAAGATGGGGGCTGCCGTCAGGGGATCCCTCGGTGGCCGGCACGGCACAATACGCCGTACCGGCCAGCTAGGGATCCCCGCGGGCAGGGTCATGGGACGGGCGTAGCCAGGGCACGCACTCGTCCTCTTCTGCCCGCTCTTCTTCGGCGGGAGGGAGCGGCCAGGGGATCATCCTCCCGCTCCCTCTCGGCTGCCTCCTTCTGCGAGATAACGTTCTCGCAGAAGGAGGCAGCCGCCTCCCATGCCGACTCGCTACGGAGCATGGCCTCTACCATGCTTCGCAGCGAGTGGGTTCCGCCTCCCAGCGCCGCAATCAGGTCGCGGCGCTGCTGCCGCCAGGCCGAGCACTCCAGCAAGGTGTGCTCGGCCGTATCGTCCGGGGCGCCGCAGTGATGACACTGCGGCGTTTCCTCCCGACGTGCGACACGGTACAGGTAGTGACCGAAGCATCCGTGCCCGGTCAGTACCTGCACCATGCGGAACGAGAGGCCGCCGCGCCGGCGACCCACCCACTCCTCCAACACCGGACGAATGGCCTCAATCGTCCGGTGGCCGGCGCTTACATGGGCGAGTGCCTCATCCCATCGCCGCAAGGCCTCTGCCTGCGCGATGGAACGGACCTGCCGCAGCTCTGCTGGGGCAGGTCTTTCACCCCGCTCCCTGGCTTCGACCCGACCTCGATGCACGTCTGCCAGAACCTGGGCATCGAGATCCCACGGCGTCATACCCGCGAGTACGCAGGCGGCGCCGTGGCTGACCGTGCGGTAAGCTCGCACGACCCGGGTCGCGATGGTCCTCTGCGGTAATAATACTAGCTCCTGTATTTGGTATCACTTAAATTTTTCAACCGCTGTACTTTTAAGATTTTATTAGTTGGATTTAACGAAATTGTGGTGAAAATATTTCATTTTAACCTATGTTACATAGTTTTTAATGCAGCTTAAATTAAGATACTATTATTATTACACGGCGATATCACGATACATAAATAGCAGCTCCTGCCCCCCCTAGCATGAGCACCGCGATCTGAAATATAGCTCGATTTTATCACGCTCAACTGTCAATTTACTTTGGAGTTTGACAGTTAGGCGCGATATAAAAGTGATATAATGTAAATTGGGGTGCTCATATTACGGGGACAGCCCTCCCTAGCATAAGCACCGCGATATGATTTAAAACTCTCTCTATAGTTTTTATCACGATTAATTGTCAAATTACTATGCAGTTTGATAGTTGGACGCGATAAATAATGTAAATTGAGGTGTTTATGCTACGGGGACTGTAGGCCTATTCACTAACTGCTTTT